TTATTATTATTATTACGGTGTGTTTTTTCTTTTTAACAGGGTGACAGATGAAGTGTTTAACTTTCTGTTAGTGTGGTATTACTGCACGCTGACGATAAGGGAAAGCATTCTCATTAGCAATGGATCAAGGTACCGTGCCACCTGCAAAAACTATTTAAAGCATGAAATGTCCTTAAAGAAAACAGCAACAAAAGGGGATTCAGCTTGGTGCTGAAGCCCAGCAAATCCAGGATGCTGATGCATCTCTGCAGAGTCTGCTGGCTCCATTCCCCTCCTGAGGTGCTTTCAAGGGCAGATGTGGCCACCTGAGGTTTGAAAAGAGAGGAGAAGGTGCAGTTCCTAAAGGTCCCGAAGATCTTGGTTGGATGTTTTGGGTAGCTATGGGTTAGTTGTAGATGTGTTCTGGAGTATAAGGGTGTGTGTTTGGTGAAAGGACCGACCCGAGGTACTGGCTCTGTGCCCTGCGGGTGGCACTGCTGTGGCTCCTGAAGTGTGTGACGGTTGTGTCAAGGGAAAGTGGGTGATTTGGAGATCATTGTTCCCAGAGCTGGGAACACAAGTAAAACCCTGGGCAAAGCTAACTGAAAGATGATCCTTACTGCAAGCCCTCGTTTCTTCATGGGACCTTTGCAGGGTATTGGTGGTGAGGTCCTGCTGGTGACTCGCTCCTGGAGCATCTCCCTTAGGGCTGTTTTGAGAAGCTGCTGGAGTTTGCACTTGTGTAACTTGGAGTCTGGTGCTAGATTTTAGCAATAAAATGGGTGATTCCTGGGAGCTGCTTGAGGATGCAGTTCCCAGCACTGGCCACAGGCAGCAGTCTCTGCTGTGGGCATGGCTGTCCCCAGGGCTGCTGTGGGCAGGATGTCTTGTTTTGGGGTGCTTTCTGGGGAAGTGGGGATCGCTGCGGAGCCACAGATGAAGCAGAAGAACCAAAGCACTGGGATGTAAAGCTGTTTGCCTGAGGTCAACGGAGAAACCTCTGAACCTGTGCTCGCTGCATCCACAGCACAGTGGCTGTGACAAGCTGCGTCTTGTGTTGGAGGCTGCACGCCTTTGGTTGGAGACACCCATAATTAAGCCATCATATTGGCTTAGTTTCCAAAGCAGCACTGTCCTGAGGGCAGCCCTTCGTGTCTTGATTCAGCCTTGCTACAGCCTTTGCTCACTCTGCTGTGATTTTTCTGAGCTTTCTGCAGCATTTGTGTCTGAAAGTAACAGCCAACCTCATAGGAAGGACTTGGAAACGTCACTTATTTGTGTGGCATGGAAAAGAAAAGGGTGTGTAGGCTGAAACCTGTGCATCATTAGTCACTGCGGTAGCTTGTGCTGCTGCTCGCTGTGCTGGAGAGCTCATGGGAGCACGGGAGGTGTGCCCCGGTCCTGAGCCTCCCTGCAGCAGTCATGCCCCCAACTTAAGCCATATTGCTGGGACAGTGTTCTACAGCCCCCTTTTGACTTGCGCTGGGCCATCTTTTGTTCCCTGTCCCCCAGCCCTCCCCAAGTCAGGATCAGTTTTTGTCTTTAAAGCCAGACCTTCAATGCTCAAATCCATGTTTCTCCTCTAACTGCCACGTTTTTCCCCTGTTCAGGATCAAAGGCTGGTGGGTGTCTCATCACTACGTCTCCACGTTCCTGTCTGGGGTGATGTTAACGTGGTGAGTGCTCTCGCGTGCTCGAGGTGCCTCAAGCCTGTTTCACGGTGTCTGCATCATCTGAGCCTTTAAATCCAGCGTGACCACAAAGCTGTGGCAGCGCGGGCGCGTGGCGAAGCATCAGACTGAATGTTTGTCTGATGTTACAGATGTTTCCAATGATAAATACAACACTGTGACTGTATTTACATTGCTGACTTAAAAAAAAAGGAAAGAAACCCAGACCCTAAGCCGTAGTTAACGCTGATGGGAGCAAAATCTCTGCAAGTGTCCTGATTCCTGTCTGTGTAACGAAGCAAACGAGCAGCACTTTGCTTTAGAGGGAGGACCCCATAAAATCAATCTGTTTGCTGCCTTTGAACCCAGATTACTAACCAAGTATAAAGCAAAAAATGCAAGTTACCTTCCTATGCATGGTGGTGCTGGTAAAACAACACAGCGTATGGCCCCTGTGCCAGCCATCTCGATTTTGGCATGAACTGATTAGTTAATAATTAAAAATTGGTTTAAAACAACAAACATTTCTGCTCCTGAATCTGTACGGGGAAGACAGAGTGGCTGGAGCAGAGGGTCCCTGTTCCTGTCTGTCCTGTGGATGAGGAGCACAACCACCCCCTGAGCCACTGCTTGGGTTCTTGATGCAGACACTGCTGAATGGCTTTGCCTAGAAAATACTGCAATAAGCAGATGAATAGGAGGGTGCAGCATTTGTATGTGTTGGAGAGGGGAACCTGGTCACTGAGAGCATTTCCTGCACACCAGAGCTGTGGTGTGCAGCTGCAGGACCCCCTCTGGGCTCCTGATGGGCTGGGTCCCAGCTGCTCGCTTCATTGCTAATGGGGTCCAGCTTGTGGTGAAGGGGAAGGGTGCTGTGTCCTATGGTTTTTATCAGATTGACCTCCTTTGTGTTTTGCTTTCAGGCCAGATGGACTCATGTATCAAATGTTTCGCAGTCAATTTTTAGCGTTTTCAATATTTCAGAGTGAGTATCTTTTACCTTGCTAATTCATGGGATAAAATCGTTTTGTATTTTACGTGCTTAGAAGAAAACACTTCTGCTTGGTAAATACTGGAGTATTAAACTGCAGGACTATCAAGATACCACACAAATATGCAGTGTACAAGTATAAACAAACGCTATTGGATTAAAAATTACTAAAATAGTTTATCATGCTTCTGATGATAATGTTACTTCTCATGACGTGTTCTCTCTCCTCCTCCAGGTTGTGTTCAGTTCCTACAGTATTATTATCAAAGGGGCTGCCTTTATAGACTCCGTGCTTTGGGGGAGAGAAACCACTTGGACCTCACAGTAGGTGAGGTTTCCTGCAGTACTTTTCAAGTTTTTGCAGAGGTTTTAAATGCAGTGAGAGGGCTGGGTGGCTGTCCCCGAGTGACCTGTGCAGAGCTGCACCCCTGCCCTGCTGCCCGTGTCCCACAGCAGGAGGGGAGCGAGGTTTGCATCTCGTCCTCAGGTCCTGTGAGTGAGAGCAGAGGGCTCTGACCCCTCTCAGCTCTTGAGAGGGTTAAGGGGGAGGTTTTGGTCATCCCCGTCTTCATCTTCCTCCTACTGCACCACCTTCAAGTCTGTGTTTTCAGTCTGTTGGTTATTGTGAAGCAGGACAGGAATACCCTTATGGGGTGGCTTGGTTGGGGAGGGCTGCAGCTCTGGTTCTGGCTCCCCTGTGCTCACTCTGCCCCTGCTGTTCACCTTTTCCAGAGGGATTTCAGTCCTGGATGTGGCGGGGGCTGACGTTTCTCCTTCCCTTCCTCTTCTTTGGGCACGTAAGTTGGGCATACCCCTTCTTACCCCTGCGGCGCGGGGCCTGGGAGGGTCTGCCACTGCGGTGGCTTTAAATGAGGTAAAAAGGTGCTTTAAATCACAGGTGTCTGTAGCGAATGTTTCTGAGGTTTGGGTTTTTTTGCTAGTAATTAAATTGCTTTTTTTTCTCTCTTTAGTTCTGGCAGCTATATAATGCAATCACGCTTTTTGGATTGTCAAGGCATAAGGAGTGCAAAGAATGGCAGGTGGGTGCTGCTCAGAAAAAGCATGGAGCAGGGGGAGAGGGGGTGTTTAACCACAACCTTAGATATTTTGGCATCTGACCCCATTTAAATATCTGGAGGTGATGTGGCACAGAGCCTGTACAAAAGGACTCAAAATAAAATTAGGGAAACTTGCACCCATGGGTGACTACACAGGCTGAAAGGCAGAGGGTGGAGTGGAAGACAATACCTGCAGGTAAATACTACTCTGTGGTGTTTGTGTATACGGGCATTTAACAGCAATGGCTGCTGAGCTGCTGGTGTCTCTTCATAGCTGGTTCATGACTTACACATATAAAAACACCATGGAAAAAAATAATGGCAGTGAATCACTTTAAAAACATACTACCCACTATATTGCCCCACATTTAGAGATCCTTCCCCTTGTTTTTTCAGTTGCTGTCACCCATCAAACATGTCTGTCCATTCCCAGTGGTGCAGACGATCTGATGGCCTGTATTTTGTCCAGATCTTGCTGTAGCTGGTGTGCTTGTTTCATTCTCTGGTGTAACACAGGGGCACAGCTTCCACAGGAGCAGGGCATTCCCGCACGCCTGTGGCACGGCTGTTCAGTGCAGTGCTTGTAGCACAACGTTAACCCAGGAGAGTGGGCTTAATGATTTGATTTAATGTCTGATAGAGTCCACTTACGTTGAGTGTAATCCACATTTTAGTATTAAAAAGTAGTAAATGTTACTGAAACAATGATAAAACCACAGTTCTCATTAACTTGCGCAGCTGGATGTGTGGATGTGTATTTATGATCTCCTCACGTGTCCCTACACTTGCCAACCAAACCCCATCAGAACCCACTTAAATGTGACCCAAGCAACACCCTCAACTCTCGCCTCTTTCTCCCCTCTCAGGTCTTTGTGTTGGCGTTCACGTTTCTGCTGCTCTTCCTCGGGAACTTCCTCACTACGCTCAAGGTGGTGCACACTAAACTCCAGAAAAACAAAGACAAAATGAAGAAGCTGTGACCCCCTGTCGCTATCGCTGCCGTCCCTCTGCAGGTGCTGGGTTTGGGACAGGTTCTGCTGTAAACCCAGCGATGTCCTGGACGGGCCCAGGAGGACTTGTCCGTCCCCGTGGTCGCTGAAGGATACGGACAGACTCAGTATTAATGCAAGCATGGCTCTCAGGCTGCAGTCCTGCTATTTATCTATATTTAATACAAAACATGTTTGCTTTGGGTTTTTTCTTCTGTATATAGAACAGCATGCACCTGCCCGGCAAAGTGCCAGCACTGGGAGAATGTGGAATCTACTGTAATTCCAGTTCTGGAATGGTATTTAACACTTTCCAGTTTTATTATTTAAATTCTGGGTACTGGATTTGCAAAGGTTTATGAACACTCCAGGCTGATCAGTAATACAGACCGAATGCTGTTTTTCCAAGGCATTTGTTTAAGGCATATTTTCGGTGGCAATACTAACCTGTGCGTACTGTGAAAAACAAAAAAGTCCATCTTTGTACCATACTGCTGCTATATACACTTTTAAAAAGCTATTTAAAGAAGATAAATCCTCTTTTAAAAACAAATCCTAGCAGAATGAGTTGTTAAATGGCAGGGAAGTCTGCTAGCCTTCTTCCAGGGAGACCAGGTCATCTGTGCAGGCCTGGAAAAGACCTGAAATAAACCCTTCAATATCCAGCTGCTTCAGCCCCTCTTTAATAACAAATACACTGTCCTTCAGGTGGCTTTTTTAGAAACATTGTTTTTCCTTAAAAGGGCCTTGATCAGTGTCAGTAAGCGCAGTTACATTTTGGGTTCTGTTTCCAGTGTTTTTACTCCCAGTGCCCTTCTAGAAAGGGGAGGAGGGGCTCAGCAGAAACGTGAAATGCTGTGTGGATGCTGTGCCTGTACCCATAAGAAGAGGATGTAAACCCTCGCTGGGGAGGGTGGCAGAGGACAAACACTGCTGTCCTGCTCAGCTCCTCGTGCTGCTTACACCGATGCACCCAAATACACTCGGTGAGGGGGCTGTGCCCCTGCACCCCTGTGGTGCTGTCAGCCTCTCATCCCCACAGGGAAGGCCTCCTTGGAGCAAGCACAAAGCCCAAACCGGGCACGTGCATTGGCAGAGGGGGATCTGAAAGCGATGCCCTTTTCCTGGTAAGCGTGCTCATGAAGAAATACCCGTGCACTACAAACCCAAAATGATTTCATCAGCTCTTCTGTTGCTCTTAACAGAGGGGGATCTGAAAGCGATGCCCTTTTCCCGGTAAGCATGCTCGTGAAGAAATACCCATGCACTACAAACCCAAAATGGTTTCATCAGCTCTTCTGTTGCTGTGAGCCTAGCAACGTTACCTTTACAGCACTGCTGTCCTGTGGGCATAAACAGTACATTGCCATTTGCAGATTTTTAACAACTGGACGCTAGCTGGGCTGTACCTTAACTGTTGACTTTTGTGTACCCTGTGAGGCTGGGGATTTTTATCCTTTGAACTCTCCGCTTGTGAAACGTAAATTGTGTTATTTTGAGAGTGATGCTGGAACCTGCTGGATGGGAGCAGTGGACCTGGTTCTCCAGGGGTGGGGAGCACTGCACGTGGTGATAACACGAGTTCTGCAGCATGAGAAACCCAGATGAACACAGCCGGAAAGATTCCCACCGTGGAGCTGCGGGTAAGCACAGTGACTTCCTGCACGTTGGTATTTCAGTTTTGTACTGGGGAAGGTGATGGGTGGCTCTGTGTCTTCTACTGACAAATGTCTTCTCACAGAGAAAGGGCTGCACAGGTCTTCAAGAATTTTCTATAGTCAAAGATGTGCACAAACTTGAAGTTTTTTGTTAATTTTCCATTTTAAGCTCACAGGAATTCACAAACCTTAATTAAATCAAACCAAGTAAAGATTTCCAGGATCAAGCTCTCTACCCTGCAAGTGAAATAGTAACAATGGCTGACTCCAAACTAGGGTTTCTCACCAGCTGGTCATGTAACCAGCAGAGGATAAAGCTGCATGAACTCTGTATGATGTACAGTTACCAGGCTCTGTGTGCAATGGTTGCAGACTCCAGGCGTGCATCACCGCAACTTTTTGGCAGAAGGTTGTGTCCTGTTACCGTTACACCAGTCCTGGGTGTTCTCCCTTGGTACGTGCTGTGGTTTGCCTTACACAGAAAGCTTTCAGCAACTGCAGAAACCTCCTCTCCCTCACAGGTTTGGCTTGTGTAAAGGCCCTAAACTGGTGATTGCTCCCGAAGTCTTGCTAGATGGGGTGTGCAGAACAAGGAGATCTGAGGCAATGTACTGGGTTTTGCACTGGGAGCATCCCTCATCCTTCCACAGACAACTGACACCTTCATCGCAACAGGGAAAAGTTTAATTTAGAGCAGTAGAGATGATTTCATCAGTTAATGAACATGATTTAGTATTTCCCCTAGCACGCACCAATATCTGCATCAGTCATGTATTAAATAAGCTATGTAAGTCTGTGTAAAACTGACTTCACGGTACACGTAGTTGCTGCTTGGAGTACTTCCAAGTGCTGTAAATGTAGTATTTTCCATGAAACTCCATTTCTGAACTGGAGCGACCCGTGCGTTTCCATGACAAACCCCACGTTATGACAGCAGCAGGCCATGAGGAGAGCTGTAACGGGCAGTGATGGATGCTGCGTCTGTGCGCTCCGGGGGAAGCTCAAGGCTCGCTCATTCACTGCCACCAAGTACATTTATTCTAAAACGTTCAGACAGAACTTCACTTCTGTCTCTTCAAAGGTGCCTGATGAGCTGCTCTAACATCACCTCTCAAAGATGTGGCTCTTCAGCTTTTCTGCTTGAAGAAGACAGCAAATTGTAGCTATAACATGCCACAATTCTTTTGCAGAGGTGAAAAACCCCACTAGTTAAGTCATACAGTAGCAGTGACTGTTGATTGCAATTTAAATAGCAAATCCAAGACCTGACTGGTGGTCACTTGCAGATAGGCACGAAAGGCAGATGAACAAAGAAGGCACACAGCACTGGATAACCTTGATAAAGAGCTTTGAAAACTGTGAGAGCAGTGCAAAAGAAGTGCAAAAATACTAAAAATAATTAAAATTTGAAAATAAAGTTTGTTCTAGGAATAAAAATGTGTAATAAAAATAACAGTCTGTATTATTTTTAAAACCTGAGTCACTTGGCTCTCGTGCAGTCAATGCTCTTGCAGTCCAGATCATAGCACTGAGCACACTCTCCGCTTCTTCTGGCGCTTGGCTTTCCTCATGGCATTCAACGCAATGGTTGTAGCTTCTTTAAAAACTTTCTCTATGTTCTCACGACATTTTGCTGAGCACTCCAGATAAACCTCTGCGTTAATCTGCTGACACGCTGCTTCACCCTGGGAAGAACAAGAGGTAAGGAGAGATGTAAACCCAGCATATGAGAGCAGGAAGCCAAGATGCAAAGGAATGATTTTGAACATCTCCATGGTACGAGGTCAGGAAGAAAGAAGCTGTCTGTGAGTATTGCTAGGGTGTAAGTGGCATTGGTAGTAAACTGAGGCACTGTTAAATAAACTAGGTTTTTTCCCTTATGTTTATCTAAAGCCTGTCCCAACAGTTCAGTGCATTAGAGACTCTTAAGATGTGGGTTTCTGAAAGTATAATAATATTCTCAGTATTAAATTTGTGTAAAATAAATGCTGAGGTGTAGATTCTTAAGTGAGGATAAGATGTTGACATAGAGATTTTTTCTAGGCCTGGCCTTAGCTATTACACGATAGATTCTTAAGTGAGGATAAGATGTTGACATGGAGATATTTTTTCTAGGCCTGACCTTAACTATTACACGTTGTCACCTTAAGTAACGAATGTCACAGGCAAGAGCAGAATCCAGACCAATATCGTGCCTTGTTTTGCTGGTGCACATGCAAATGTCACAGGCAAGAGCAGAATCCAGACCAATGTCCTGCCTTGTTTTGCTGGTGCACATGCAGGAACCCTGCCTTTTCCTTTGGAGCATCACAAGGGCTCGGCCAAAATCCTCGTAGACATGAACGGGTCACGAAATCACTGCACACAAAACGTGATTTCTTACTTTGCTTGTGATCCTTTTACTGCCATTGCAGGGTCAGCCCCCGCTTTTGATGCTTGTGAGCCTTGGAGGGTGAATTCCAGGTCTGCAACCTGCAGCTCCCGAACTCAGCATTTCTCCATTACAAGCCCTGGCAGCGGGGTCACTTGAGCACTCAGGTTTCTATAGGGGGTTTTCTTCAGCGTGTTTAAGCAAAGTTTCTCTCCTTCCAGCTGTCTGCAAAGCTGCAGTGCTGGCAGGCACTGTGCAGCTCCTGTGTGCCCAGCATCGGGAGCATCCCGTCCTGTGACTCAGGATGCCATCAGCTGTAAAAGACCGAGGCAGCGTACACTGAAGGGGAGAAAAACCAAGTGGGAGGGTTCGCACAGGAACATCACAAAATGTGGGCCCTGGACTTTAACTGCATGAGGCCTTGGCACGCTCGCCAAGCCTGTCTGTTGCTTGCCCTGAACCTCGCGTGTGACGGTGACGATGGGAGTTACTGATGCAAATGAGGGACAATCTGCAGCTGTCCACAGAGCTGCAGGACGGGCATCTCGTGCGCAAGCTGAAAGTCCCGGCGTGGCTTAGTGGCGAAGCAGTTGCAGTTTCTTTTGGTGCCGTTTAGAAAAAGAAGCGATTCAGTCAAGGTCTTTGTGTGCTTAACCTTGTTCCCTAGATTTGTGTCCCAAACGGTTTGAAAGCCGCTGCTCTTGCTCTGAGATGAGAAGCATGGCTTTGTAGTCGAAAAAACAAAAAGTGGGAGACCAGAGCAGTAAGGTCTGGTGGGACATGGGACAAGCTGTTCCACCACTGTTTCTGCTGTACCTAGGACAGCTGTGCCAGTCCTGTAGCACTCTTAAGTCTCACCGCTTTGTAATACTTAAATTTAAAACATTTGATAATATCTACTTTTTTTTTTTTAGATTAGAGACTTCAAAAAAAAGCTGCTCATGCTAGAGAAGCCTGACAGAAGTTTCTGCTATTGTCCTTGAAAGGATTCATTTTAAAATAGTTTGCAAACCACATTTTTCCCAAGAATGGTATTTTCAATCCTGTTATGTGTATCCTAGCACCTTCAGTCTTTGTCACAATCCTGACCGAAGTACCAGCGATGGGAGCAATGTATCCTAATAAAAGTCATGACGGGTGCCCAACAGACTTGTCAAGGCTCACAGATTTGTAACAAGCCTAGAAGGCGTAGCTAGTACTGTCCTTTCAGACACCCCAAGATATGCAGAACCTCTTCAAATTTCTCTTTACTTTGGTACTTAAAATGGGTGGTGATTTGGCTACTTCCAAAAAGGACTTACAGAAACCTCTGTCGGTGCTGATCGCCAATAATTCCTTTATCTGGACACTGTGATCACCTAATTCTGGAGTCTCTGTGATTGTACCTGTGAGGACCAATGCCACTGGAGTGAGTGTGCTGGATCTCTTGCCAAGAGGGCACTGCTTTGTGCATACCTGGCTGTAAGTAATGGGTTCCTGCTTGGAAGCCTTGAGCTTGCGCAGCTGCTCCTTGTCTTTCCTGAGGTCTGTCTTGCAGCCGATCAGCACGAGCGGGACGCCTCGGCAGAAGTGATTCACTTCAGGATACCACTGATGGGAGAACAACAACACTTTGACATCTGCCTTTTTTTTTTCATTTCCTCTGAAATCCAAACAATAAAGCCAAGGAACAGAACCAGCATTTAATATATGCTGCACTTTCAGAGTTTTGAAAGTTGTTAATCTAACGGGAGGGGCCCAACATGCAATATTTACATTACAGAAACATTTCAAAGTCCTACCCAAAGTCAGCTGCTCTACAAAAACATAGGTGGCATCTGGTGCTGTGCCAAAGCACGTACTTAACATCTGCTTAAATTCAGAAGAGCGCCTCTAAAGTCCTATTTAAGAGCAGAATTTGGACCAAGTCTCGCTGTGTTTTGTTGGTGCTATGTACAGGAATGCTAACTCGTACTTTGGAGTGTTACAGAAACCCCAGCACAGACAAGTGGTTGCTGACGTCTCTCCCCTGCAGTTAAACACACACGTGATGGGAGCAGACCCGAACCTAGAATTCTTGTGTGCAGTGCTGGCTGTGTGACACCACTACAGGTAACGCAGCCATTGCACCGCTGGTGTTCAATCTTTTTAGGGCACTGTAGCATCAATCCCAGTTTTGCACCCGTGGTGCAGGACACCAAAAGCATTGGCATTTTCAATTTGACATCTATTATGTATCGGGCATATATAATTCATTTAAAGGGTTGGAGCAATTACAAAAGCTCTTACCTTAGCTGCTACATTATCATAGCTGGTGGGGTTCATGACATCGTAACAAATTAACACGACGTTTGTGCTCTGGTAAGAAAGCGGTCGTAGCCGATCATAGTCCTCCTGCCCTGAAGCACAGAGAATGTTGTGGATAAAAGCAAACTCCTTAACAAGCAGTATGATGTGTAAAGACACACACTTTAGATGGAGAACATTGCAGAGTTTTCTATACATGTAAAATTCCTTCCCTGAAATACAGGAGGTTCCTCTTCACTGGCAAAACTCTGCTTTAGAGTATAAAGCATACCCTGGGCAAGTTTTAGTAGAAAGCCTGCTTTGTCCAACTGCTAAGTACTTAGAGGCAGCTCTGACCCCTGATTGCCAAGCTGCTGCTCACAAGCACAATCAGCCAGAGGAATTTGACCGTCATCGATTAAAACCTTTGCAGTCTGGCAGCGGCTCCATTCTCCCAAACACATCTGCACGTGCCATGTGGTGAGGAGAAGAAACGCCGTCTTTGCTGGATGCGAATGCAGAGGTGAAAATCTTCGTGGCAAACCTGCTTTTCCCAGCCCAATGAGCAAGCAGCGATGACCACACCGTGCCTCCAGCACCGCTGTTCACTGCAGACCACGCAGGCCGTTTTACCAGATGGGCCAGGCTCACCTGGTCTTTGGAGCAGATTTCTCTTGGAAAAGCAGGGATTTGTCCTACTTCTGGTGAGGGGTGTTCTAGCACAGGATCTGACAACAGGAAGGTAATTTCCTTCAGACCTGTACTGTCCCCCTTGCTGTACACAGGACTTGGCAGTAATGGCCATGCTGGGATCGAGGGGTCTCGTTTTGAGAGATTAAGTTCAAGAAAGCAGTAATTAACTGATACTGTTGGCAGCTCAGGAAGAAACCCCAATGTTTTTAATTTGAGATTTTTTCTAGAGACTTATTAAGGAAGAAACCATGATTTAAGCAGTCTGCGGAAGATCTGTTTGCACCCAAATGCTGCCCCTGGCATCGGGTACATCTCTGATGCACTGCCCTTCCAAAACAAGAACAGCGAACGCCGCTTCTCCCCACCATCACCACAAGGCACACACAGCCCAGAAGCTGCCTACAGGGACGTGACACAGCTCAGATCTTTATATTGGTTATTTCAAAGGAAGGGACACTGAAAATGTCAGTGTACCCCAACTTCACACCGCCTATCCCTGCCCTGGCAACAGGCTCAGCCCAAGTCACACACTCGTCACGCCAGCCAACGTGGTCATCTCTGAAGCACTGCGGGCACCAGAACGTCAGTAATTCTGCAATGCTTTGCCCCCTTCCTTAATTTAAATGATGGCTTTAGATACAGGTTATTACAAGGCAAAACCTACTGGATAAGCCATTACTGAGCTTGTCAGAGATGTCTGTAAAACGGGAATCCCAGGTTTGGACCACTCTGTTATTTGAGCTTCCACAAGAAGCTTTGTGGGCGAGGTGCAGGGTAAAGGAGGATTGATCCCTCGGTGCTTAATCCAGAAATAATAGGCAATTGACAAAATCATGCATGTTGTATAAAAGCACTGCTTAGCCCTTCTTACTCTCCCAAATCCACCTACTTGTTTGCAACCGATTTACCACTTTGTTGCTGAGACAATCCCCTAAATGCTTTAAACACATCAGGTGCCAAACATTTTTCTTCCTCCTAACTTACTCTAGCGTTATGTGCTGTGTATGACTTTCCTTGGTCAGATTCACGCCTCTGAGCTCCTACCAACACAGCTTGTAAAATCAAAAGGTCCTCCAAGGTATTTGTGAGGCAGACAGGACTGTTCCCCTTGGAATCACAGCATCACAGAATATCAGGAGTTGGAAGGGACCTCGAAAGATCATCCAGTCCAACCCCCCTGCCAGAGCAGGATCACCCAGACCAGGTCACACAGGAACGCGTCCAGGGGTTTGAACGACTCCAGAGGAGACTCCACAACCTCTCTGGGCAGCCTGGGCCATGCTCTGGCACCCTCACAGTAAAAAAGTTTTTCCTCATGTTCAGCTTGAACCTCCTGTGCTCCAGCTTGGGACCATTGCCCCTTGTCCTGTCATTGGACATCCCAGAGCAGAGCCTGGCTCCTTCCTCCTGACACTCGCCCTTTCCAAATGGATCCCCAGGAATGAGGGCACCCCTCAGTCTCCTCTGCTCCAAGCTCAAGAGCCCCAGCTCCCTCAGCCGCTCCTCAGCAGGAGATGCTCCACTCTCTCCATCATCTCTGTGGCTCTGCACTGGACTCTTTCAAGCAGTTCCTGTCCTTCTTGAACTGAGGGCCCAGAACTGGACACACTATTGCAAATGTGGTCTGACCAGGGCAGAGCAGAGGGGAAGGAGAACTTCTCTCGACCTACAACCACCCCTTCTAATACACCACAGGATGGCATTGACCTTCTTGGAAGAAACACATTTGTTTGCTTGGGATTGGAACACACAGCTAAAACCACACTTTCCTGGATGGGCTAACAGTCTTCTAGTAGAAGAGTTTAAAAATACAAGAACAGGGCCAAACCTAAGCAGTTAACACATATGTAAAGCCCCTGAGTGCACTTCCTCAAGCACAGGTAGCTGTTTTCTGTCCCCTGTTAACAAAAAGCACGCTGAGGAAGAATCGGACAAATATACACCTACGTGTGAACCCACCTGTGACTCTCCTCTGCCTTCCTCAACTCCTTGTAGCATCAGAGATCCTGTTGGGTTTTTTTTTTTAAGGAAAACGCTCTGTCCAGCTGAATTCACCTAAAATTTATAATTATTTTGCAGAGGTGACACTCCTGCATGCCTCCATGATGTGCTGTGTAACCCACGCTGCTGCGGTCAGGCCCTACAGCACCGTGGGACCAAGGTGATGGCTGAGAGCGAGGGAGGTGAAGCCATGGTGGTGGTGGTCTCACGTGCGTGTTCACATCTGCCTGCTCTTCCTCTCCCCTTCCCCAATTCCCCACCAAAGATGTGCCAGCCCCTGCACTGCTCAGTCCCTAAAGGAGTCAGCACCCGCTGCCATTGACAGGAGGCAGTGAATGATAAAGACTTTCCAGCCTAGGAAAGTACCCGCCGTCCTAACGCAGAGCAGCGCTGTCCATCGCCACCAACCACCAGTGGCCAAGGCAGAATGCAACATCCTGCACCCGCTCCAGACCAGCCCAACGCTTTCTACAGATGTCCACACATTGTAATGTTCCACACATTGTAATGCTCCACACGCTGTAATGCTTCACACACTGTCCATGATGCTCCACGCTCGCGGTTCAGGATCAACATGGGACTGCACGATGGGGAGCTCTCACAGCCACGGAGAAATGCACCCAGTTTTCCTGGATCTGTTATTCTGCAGGCTCCATGGGAATACCATGGTTATGTTTTTTTCACTACTCAACTTTGGAAAAACTGGGAGACAGACTTTCTTCTTGGCAGCAATAAAGGCAGTAAAAGACAACACTTAGGGCAGAGGGCCACGCTGCAATTAAAAAGGTGGTCTGCTGATGTTTTTTTGTCTTCCTCAACCATGCCCTCCCTTTCAAAGTTATGAAAAATTATTCTTGCATATACCAGCTTTTGAAATGTCTCTTAAGGCCTCAGGCTGCCGTGCATCTGTCATTACAGACCCGAAAAACCCCGCCGGAGGCTTCGTGTGCGCTTCCTGCCAGTCAGAGCGGGCGCCCACAATGATGAGGCACAACTTCCTCCCCTGGCCCACAGAGCTCTGTGCTTCGGTCTGAGAAAGTCCTGCACCAAACAGCACCGGAAATTGAACCTTGTGTCTGAACTAACACTGCTCCCTCAGGATGTAAAAAAATTACAGTTAATTTACCTCTTATTCCTTGGCCTCTACAGAGCACAGCAAGAAAATGGAAACTTTGAATAAGCAGCTGTAAAGCCTGTTTGCAGACAAGACAAGTGGTATTACAAAGCTTTTACACATTGCGTTATGTATACCACCAACTTCCTGCAACAGCAAGAGGTGGCTCTGATGAGGAAGACAGAGTGGTATTAAACTCTCACAAGAAATAATAATTCTAGCATATTTAGACTAACTCATTCACTTCATTTGTTACCAGCAATCTTGTTAAAGAAAAAAATACCTTTTGTAGCTTGAAATGTTTGACTCTTGGGCACTGTGTGTCCTTCTCCTTCAGTAAGTAGGACAAGTTCCACGTCTCAAGCTGCAGAGGGCTTGACAACACAAAGAATCCTCCCAACTTTAAACAGCCCACGGAGCTGAACCTGTCCTTTACCTCCACGATGCTGAGGTACAGCAGCTCTATTTAGTGTGGCATTAAAATACTGAGGTCCTTTCTGCAGTGGGTGCATCGTGAAGTGACTTTTTAGAACAGCTTCCTCTTGTCTCCTCTTGCTCTCCTCTCACTGCACTGTTTGAACTCAGAGGACAGGACCCAACTCTTGCTCCTAGTCTAACCCTTAAGGCGTTCAACATCGGTTTTGTACTAATAAAAACAGGATGGGATTAAAATGGGTGCTCAAGTGAGTTCTTCCTCTAGCGTAACTTCCAGCTTCAGAAACAGGATGAATTAGTCTGACACAGATCTGTAACAAAACTGTGTGAGCAGGTCTGAAACGGAACCAAAACTCAGGGCTTTCCCCCTCAGAAGCAAATGCATTAACCAAGGTGGCAATGTTCCCCCAGTAATCTTGATGCGTCTCATGCAAAGCAAAACCGATTTACCAGGAAGGGAGGAGGCAAGTGTCAGCAGCCTTGAGCCTAGGGGCCATGGCACTGTTCTGGGAGGTGAAACATACTGGTTTCCAGATGAGGGATGGAAAGCAGTTGTCCCTTCGTGGCAAAGAGCTCTGCCAACTAGGGAACGCCTCCATCTCCACTTCCCAAAGTGGGATATGAGACACAAAATATGCCCCACTGTTCTTCAATGGGACAGCGCTTTGGGCCAAGACAGCACCGAGAGCTGTGAACTAAATGTGGGAGGGCAGACACTTTCTGCTGAAGGTACAGGCCTGAACAGGGAAATGGGGTAAAACTGGGGAGAAACTGTTTAGCAAGGCCTGTTGATAGGATGAGGAGTATTGGTTTAAAAATGGTAGATTTAGATTAGATTTAAGGAAGAAATTTTTTACAATAAAAAATTGTGAGGCACTGGCACAGGTTGCCCAGAGAGGTGGGAGATGCCCCATCCCTGAAGGTTGGCCAGGTTGGACGGGGCCAATCTCTTTAGCTTGGAGCAGAGGAGACGGAGGGGTGCCCTCATTCATGGGGATCAATTTGAAGAGGGCGAGTGTCAGGAGGAAGGAGCCAGGCTCTGCTCTGTGATGTTCAATGACAGGACAAGGGGCAATGGGAGCAAGCTGGAGCATAGGAGGTTCATGTGAACATGAGGAAAAACATCAAGGCCAGGTTGGATGGGGGTCTGAGCAGCCTGATCTGGTTGGGGATGTCCCTGCTCACTGCAGGGGGGTTGGACTGGATGACCTCTAAAGGTCCCTTCCAACCCAAACCTATGATCAGCCACCAGCACAGGGCTCAGCGAGCACTGCCCAGGCTTGCTGGGGACTCTGGGCATTGTGCAGAGCTGAACTCCCTGCGTGACGCAAGGAGCCGGGCACTGGTGAGAGCTGAGCGCTGCAACACTGAACCTGCCCCACCGACCACCGCTCCCACGTCCAGCCCACGCTCCTCAGAGCCCGGAGGAGACTCCGAGGCAAACGGTGGCAGCTCCAGCTTGATCTCAAACAAGTCAGCCAATATCCCTGTGTGACAGGCAGGAATTCCACGCTGACAGTGAGCAAACGTAAAAACTCGACAAGTTCACTGTGTCAAGTTCTCTGTGCCAACACGCCGTATTAAGGAAATCCCTCTTTCACACCAGATTTCAGGCCTTTTCTTTTCCCTTCAGACACAAAAGCCTTGCCATTCAACAAAAGCTGTATTATCCAAATCACTGGACTTGAGAGCAGTAACATCAACACAAGAATATATATTGGCAAATTGCGTGCTCAAGATCTTACTATATTGCAGTAAGTAAACTCACTTTTAGATTAAAAACCTTTAAAATTTTCTATTCAGGTATCATATACCATATGCAAGAAGGTGTGTTTTACTACTACTAAAAATGAATATGGACTGCATTTGGTTCTTATTTGTCTCGGTGTAAATTTGGAACGACTCCACAGGCTTGAACTGAAACAGATGATTTACAGTGAGCTGAAACGGAGCATGTGTCAATTTTAAGGTTCGTTTAGGAGTGCAGCTGGATAACAAAAGTCCAAAGGCGCTGAACACAAACCATTCCACAAGTGCCTGAAATGAACCCGAACAAACTACCAGCATTTTCAAATAACTTTTACTGCTACAGCCTTTTTCTTTTGAACACAAACCAGCCTTTTTCTCCTTTACTTTTCGATCACACATGGTGGGAGATTAAAATATTTTCCTGGTTGACTGCATTATGTTTTGCATCTGGGAACTGGGTTTTAATACCTTCAGATATGTTTGCTATTTGATGTGATTTTGTTAATAAACTGGGTTGTTAAGATAATGAATGAGTTCATGGCTAAACTGCCATTAGGCGAGCAACCCTTTTTTCCTGACAGGTACATTTATGCATGTAACAGGTAACGGTTGGTTTTTGTTTGTACTTTACCAGTTTTAATTGTCATATTACGCTAAAAGTATGCTAGTAGAAAAGCAGCTTGAAAATATGTCCAGCTTTAGAGTCTTCAGGTATCAGTCTCGTTTAAGTCGACACAGCAAAAGCTGCTGGAACAGAAACACGGGCACGTTCACAGGAGCAACATTTTACACCGGTAAACGCAGTTTCTGCTTTTTTGTCTGAAATTACGAAAACCCGGGGGCTGGGTTTGGGCTTGGTCCCAAGGCCAGCGGCCGCACAGAAAAGCCCTCTCGCAGTTTTGGGATCGAGAAAACAGAAAGTGTGCGGGGGGAAAAAAGCTAATAAAATCCTTACCTGCGGTATCGTAAAGATTCAGGGTCACCTCCTTTTTGCCCACCGTCACG